TCCGTATTGGCAGAGGAGCAGAGGCACGGGTCGAGGAGCTGAGCGACAAGCTCAGGTGCTCTTCTGTTGGCCTTGTGGGCAATGGCAGGGACTTCAGGCCTGGGCATTTAAGCATTGCCCTCTTCTCTTTTGAGGGGCCAGCCCGGTAACCTTTGGCAAGAAATGAGCGTCCCAGGTGAGTCGGGGAGGTATCGAGGAGGAGCAGGGGTCCAGGGAAGGGTCAGAAATGCCACTGAAAGCTTTTGTTCCCTGTTCCAGGTGTGCCATGCAGTGGGAGCTGCAAGCTGCACCTCTTGCTGAAGACAGTGACACAAGGAGGTGGGTGCACTTAGGAGACGGTGAGTGTGGGAAAGGTTGGGGTTTGGCCGATGTGCTGCTAAAGTCATGCACTGATTTTACTTTCCTTTCTTGGAGCTGACAAAGAGAAGAACCCAGAGACTGCAGGAAGGCCTGAGGCAGCTGAAGGGACATGCTTTTGGAAGGTGGATTGCCAGTCTCGTCTCTCTGCAAGATAAGAGGGGGAGTTCTGAGGCAGAGAGGGGATGAGAGCTGGGTACAGGCTTGGGAATTGCCATGAGGGCTTTTGAAATCAGCGTAGGGAACGGAATGTTTAAGAAGAAGTCCCCTAGGAGAGGGAAGCAGAGAGGCTGAGTATTACAGGCAGCACTAGGGTGTGCAGGGCAGAGCATAGCATATCCCCCATGTAACATTTTTGTGAGTCTGTCTTTGCAGTTCTTACAAGCCCTTCTTATCAGAGGTCATTGTGTGAAGCTCACTTTGTTCTTTCATTCGAGGTGGGATGCAAGCGTTTGTTTGGGCTATCGGCACCGGAGGGCAGACAAGCAAGGTCAGTATTTTCCATCCAGCCTGTATCCAAAGTTTTCTCTGGCCCTTCTTGTCAGTGGTCATTCTATGAGAGTGTTTTTGCTCTTTTGTTCTTTCTTTCAAGGTGGGATGCAAGCGTTGGTTTGGGCTATCGGCACCGGAGGGCAGACGAGCAAGGTCAGCATTTTCCATCCAGCCTGTATCCAAAGTTTTCTCTGGCCCTTCTTGTCAGTGGTCATTCTATGAGAGTGTTTTTGCTCTTTTGTTTCGAGGTGGGATGCAAGCATTGGTTTGGGCTATCGGCACCAGAGGGCAGACGAACAAGGTGAGCATTTTCCTGCCACCCAGAATCCAAGTTTATCTCCAACCCTTCTTGTCAGTGCTCATTCTGTGAGCATCCTTTTGTTCTTTCTTTCAGGTCGGGATGCAGGTGGTTGTTGGGGCTAACAGCACTGGAGTACAGACAAATAAGGTCAGCATTTTCCTGCCAGTAAGAATCAGAAGGTACTTCTAGCGTGTTGAAATTTTGGTGAATCTAAGCACATCCTTTGCCATTTGCTTTTTTTCTGATGGTGCACAACCTGGCAAGCATGAGCAGAATGGGAAGGAGGTCCTTGCCGTAAGAGGTGAGCGTAAAGGAAGCGGAGAGGGGAACTTTGGTCAGAATGTCGCACTCGGAGGGGATCCGTCTGGATTCGTTTTGCCTCTGTGATTTCTTTGCAGTGCCCATTCGTATTGCCAGAGGAGCAGAGCCACGGGTCGAGGAGCCGAGCGACAAGCTCAGGTGCTCTTCTGCTGGCCTTGTGGGCAATGGCAGGGACTTCAGGCCTGGGCATTTAAGCATTGCCCTCTTCTCTTTTGAGGGGCCAGCACGGTAATCTTTGGCAAGAAATGAGCGTCCCAGGTGAGTCGGGGAGGTATCGAGGAGGAGCAGGGGTCCAGGGAAGAGTCAGAAATGCCACTGAAAGCTTTTGTTCCCTGTTCCAGGTGTGCCATGCAGTGGGAGCGGCAAGCTGCACCTCTTGCTGAAGACAGTGACACAAGGAGGTGGGTGCACTTAGGAGACGGTGAGTGTGGGAACGGTTGGCGTTTGGCCGATGTGCTGCTAAAGTCATGCACTGATTTTGGTTTCCTTTCTTGGAGCTGACAAAGAGAAGAACCCAGGGACTGCCGGAAGCCCTGAGGCAGCTGAAGGGACATGCTTTTGGAAGGTGGATTGACAGTCTCGTCTCTCTGCAAGATAAGTGGGGGGGTTCTGAGGCAGAGAGGGGATGAGAGCTGGGTACAGGCTTGGGAATTGCCATGAGGGCTTTTGAAATCAGCGTAGGGAACAGAATGTTTAAGAAGAAGTCCCCTAGGAGAGGGAAGCAGAGAGGCTGAGTATTACAGGCAGCACTAGGGTGTGCAGGGCAGAGCATAGCATATCCCCCATGTAACATTTTTGTGAGTCTGTCTTTGCAGTTCTTACAGGCCCTTCTTGTCAGAGGTCATTGTGTGAACCTCTCTTTGTTCTTTCTTTCGAGGTGGGATGCAAGCGTTTGTTTGGGCTATCGGCACCGGAGGGCAGACGAGCAAGGTCAGCATTTTCCATCCAGCCTGTATCCAAAGTTTTCTCTGGCCCTTCTTGTCAGTGGTCATTCTATGAGAGTGTTTTTGCTCTTTTGTTTCGAGGTGGGATGCAAGCGTTGGTTTGGGCTATCGGCACCAGAGGGCAGACGAACAAGGTGAGCATTTTCCTGCCACCCAGAATCCAAGTTTGTCTCCAACCCTTCTTGTCAGTGCTCATTCTGTGAGCATCTTTTTGTTCTTTCTTTCAGGATGGGATGCAGGTCGTTTTTGGGGCTAACAGCACTGGAGTACAGACAAATAAGGTCAGCATTTTCCTGCCAGTAAGAATCAGAAGGTACTTCTAGCGTGTTCAAATTTTGGTGAATCTAAGCACATCCTTTGCCATTTGCTTTTTTTCTGATGGTGCACAACCTGGCAAGCATGAGCAGAATGGGAAGGAGGTCCTTGCAGTAAGAGGTGAGCGTAAAGGAAGCGGAGAGGGGAACTTTGGTCAGAATGTCGCACTCGGAGGGGATCCGTCTGGATTTGCTTTTGCCTCTGTGATTTCTTTGCAGTGCCCATCCGTATTGCCAGAGGAGCAGAGCCACGGGTCGAGGAGCCGAGCGACAAGCTCAGGTGCTCTTCTGCTGGCCTTGTGGGCAATGGCAGGGACTTCAGGCCTGGGCATTTAAGCATTGCCCTCTTCTCTTTTGAGGGGCCAGCCCGGTAACCTTTGGCAAGAAATGAGCGTCCCAGGTGAGTCGGGGAGGTATCGAGGAGGAGCAGGGGTCCAGGGAAGGGTCAGAAATACCACTGAAAGCTTTTGTTCCCTGTTCCAGGTGTGCCATGCAGTGGGAGCTGCTAGCCGCACCTCTTGCTGAAGACAGTGACACAAGGAGGTGGGTGCACTTAGGAGACGGTGAGTGTGGGAACGGTTGGGGTTTGGCCGATGTGCTGCTAAAGTCATGCACTGATTTTGGTTTCCTTTCTTGGAGCTGACAAAGAGAAGAACCCAGAGACTGCAGGAAGGCCTGAGGCAGCTGAAGGGACATGCTTTTGGAAGGTGGATTGACAGTCTCGTCTCTCTGCAAGATAAGTGAGGGGGTTCTGAGGCAGAGAGGGGATGAGAGCTGGGTACAGGCTTGGGAATTGCCATGAGGGCTTTTGAAATCAGTGTAGGGAACGGAATGTTTAAGAAGAAGTCCCCTAGGAGAGGGAAGCAGAGAGGCTGAGTATTACAGGCAGCACTAGGGTGTGCAGGGCAGAGCATAGCATATCCCCATGGAACATTTTCGTGAGTCTGTCTTTGCAGTTCTTACAGGCCCTTCTTATCAGAGGTCGCAGTGTGAACTCCTCTCTTTGTTCTTTCTTTCGAGGTGGGATGCAAGCGTTGTGTTTGGGCTATGGGCACCGGAGGGCAGACGAGCAAGGTCAGCATTTTCCATCCAGCCTGTATCCAAAGTTTTCTCTGGCCCTTCTTGTCAGTGGTCATTCTATGAGAGTGTTTTTGCTCTTTGTTTCGAGGTGGGATGCGTTGGTTTGGGCTACCGGCACCAGAGGGCAGACGAACAAGGTGAGCATTTTCCTGCCACCCAGAATCCAAGTTTATTCCAACCTTCTTGTCAGTGCCTATTCTGTGAGTATCCTTGTTCTTTCTTTCATGTCCGATGCAGGTGGCTGCTATTCTGCTTGTTTCTTTCTTCTTCTCTTCTTTTCTTTTTTTCTTCAAGCAACAGTAATTGAGTACAGACAAATAAGGTCAGCATTTTTCCTGCCAGCAAGAATCAGGAAGGTACTTCTAGCGTGTTCGAAATTTCCGGTGAACCTAAGCACATCCTTTGCCATTTGCTTTTTTTTCTCTGATGGTGCACAACCCGGGCAAGCATGAGCAGAATGGGAAGGGAGGTCCTTGGCAGCAAGAGGTGAGCGTAGCGAAGCGGAGAGGGGAACCTTGGTCAGAATGTCGCACTCGGAGGGGATCCGCCTGATTTGCTTTTGCCTCTGTGATTTCTTTTGCAGTGCCCATCCGTATTGCCAGAGGAGCAGAGCCACGGGTCGAGGAGCCGAGCGACAAGCTCAGGTGCTCTTTCTGCTGGCCTTGTGGGCAATGGCAGGGGACTTCAGGCCTGGGCATTTAAGCATTGCCCCTTCTCTTTGAAGGAGGTGCCAGCCCGGTAACCTTTGGCAAGAAATGAGCGCCCCAGGTGAGTCAGGGAGGTATCGAGGAGGAGCAGGGGTCCAGGGAAGGGTCAGAAATGCTCACTGAAAGCTTTTTTTTGTCTCCTGTTCCAGGTGTGCCATGCAGTGGGAGCTGCAAGCTGCACCTCTGCTGAAGACAGTGACACAAGGAGGTGGGTGCACTTAGGAGACGGTGAGTGGGAAAGGTTGGCGTTTGGCCGATGTGCTGCCAAAGTCATGCACTGATTTTGGTTTCCTTCTTGGAGCTGACAAAGAGAAGAACCCAGGGACTGCCGGGAAGCCCTGAGGCAGCTGAAGGGACATGCTTTTGGAAGGTGGATTGACAGTCTCGTCTCTCTGCAAGATACAAGTGGGGACTCTTGAGGCAGAGAGGGTGATGAGCTGGGTACAGGCTTGGGAATTGCCTATGTGGGGGAGGGGATTGGGGGTCAGCACCCTGAAAACACCCCAAAAACACTCCTAAAAATGTCACCAAAACCACCCCAAAACTGGCCCCAAACAGCTCCAGAAACAACTGTAAAACACCCCAAAAACACCCCAAGACCAATCCTCAAAACACCCCAAAACCGCCCCAAAACACCCTCAAAACACCCCAAACACCCCAAACACCCTAAAACCAACCTAAAACCACCCCAAAACAGCCCCAAAACACCCCAAAACCACCCCAAAACCGGCCCTAAAAACACCCCAGAAACAGCCTTAAAACACCCCAAAAACACCCTAAAAACATGCCAAAAACACCCTAAAAACACCCCAAAAACACCCCCAAAACCACCCCCAGCAGCAGCTCGGTCGTGTCGTACAGCTGGGGCAAGGGGGATTTGGGAGGGCCAGCACCCTGAAAACGGCCCCAAAAACACCCTAAAAACACCCTAAAAACACCCTAAAAACACACCAAAACTGACCCCATAAAGACCCTAAAAGCACCCTAAAAATGCCCCAAAATACCCTAAAAACACCCCAAAAATGCCCCAAAACCACCCCCAGCAGCGGCTCGGCCATGTCATAAAGCTGGTGGGAGGGGCGTTGGGGGGGGTGAGCACCCTGAAAACACCCTAAAAACACCCCAAAAATGACCCCAAACAGCTCCAGAAACAGCCGAAAAACACCCTAAAAACACCTCGAAAACACCTTAAAAACACCCCCAAAAACATCCTAAAAACACCCTGAAAATGGTCCCAAAACAGCTCCAGAAACAGTCAAAAAACAGTCCCAAGAACAGTCCCCAAAACACCCCAGAAACAGCCAAAAAACACCCTAAAACCACCCCAAAACCGGCCCCAAAAACACCCTAAAAACAACCCCAAAACACCCTAAAAACACCCCAAAAACACCCAAAAAAACACCCCAAAAACACCCCAAAACCACCCTAAAACCCCCCCAAAAACACCCTAAAAGCACCCCAAAACCAGCCCCAAACAGTTCCAGAAACAGCTGAAAAACACCCTAAAAACACCTCAAAAACACCCTGAAAACACCCCGAAAACACCAAAAAAATGACCCCAAAACAGCTCCAGAAATAACCTAAAAACAGCCCCAAGAACAGCCCCCAAAACACCTCAGAAACACCCTAAAAACACCCCAAAACCACCCCAAAAACGACCCCAAAACCAGCCTCAAAAAGCTCCAGAAATAACCTGAAAACAGCCCCAAGAACAGCCCCCAAAACACCCCAGAAACAGCCTAAAAACACCCCAAAATCAGCTTAAAAACAGTCCCAGAAACAACCAAAAAACAACCCCCAAAACACCCCCAAAACAGCCTAAAAACACCAAACCCAGCCTAAAAACACCCCAAAATCAGCCTAAAAACACCCCAAAATCAGCCTAAAAACACCAAACCCAGCCTAAAAACACCAAACCCAGCCTAAAAACAGCCTAAAAAGCACCAAAACAAGCCTAAACACACCCTAAAAACACCAAACCCAGCCTAAAAACACCAAAACCACCCTAAAAACAGCCTAAAAACATCCCCAAACCCAGCCTAAAAACACCAAACCCAGCCTGAAAACATCCAAACCCAGCCTAAAAACATCCCCAAACCCAGCCTAAAAACACCAAACCCAGCCTAAAAACAGTCTAAAAACACCAAAACCATCCCAAAAACAGCCTAAAAACACCAAACCCAGCCTAAAAACACCAAACCCAGCCTAAAAACACCCCAAACCCAGCCTAAAAACACCAAACCCAGCCTAAAAATACCCCAAACCCAGCCTAAAAACACCAAACTCAACCTAAAAACACCAAACCCAGCCTGAAAACACCCTAAAAACACCAAAACCACCCTAAAAACACCCTAAATAACGCCAAACCCAGCCTAAAACACCAAAACCACCCCAAAAACACCCTAAAACCACCAAACCCACCCCAAAAACACCAACCCCACCTTAAACCACCAACCCCACCCCAAAACCACCAACCCCATCCCCCAAAACACCCCAAACCCTCCCCCCCTCCCCGCGATTCGGGGTGACCTCCACTAAACCCCAAACCCTCCAAAAACGACCCCAAATCCTCCCCCTCCCCACCCCAGACCTGAGCCCAGGGGGTGCTGATCTCCCTGAAGCTCTGGTTCATCATCCCCAGCAGCTCCAGGAACTCGGGGTCGCCGTAGTCGAAGCGGTGGCCGAAGACGATGGAGCAGATGATGTTGGACACGGCGCAGCTCAGCTTGAACGTGGGGTCGAAGGGCTGACCTGGGGGGGGTTGGGGTTTTTTTGGGGTTGGAGGGAGGTCGGGGTGAAGCAGAGGGGGGTGCTGAGCACACCCAGGTGTGCCCTGGAGGGTCCGAATACACCTTGGAGGGTCCAAATCCCAGCTAATCGACGCTAAAATCACCCCAAATGCCCCCTGGAGCGCCCAAATCCCAACTAATCCACCATAAACCAAGCCCAAATTCACCCTGAAGCACCCAAATCCCAACTAATCCGCCCTAAAACCACCCCAAATGCCCCTAAAACCAGCCCAAATTCCCCCTGAACTACCCAAATCCCACCTAGTCCCCTGAAACCACCCCAAATGCCCCCTGGAGCACCCAAATCCCAACTAATTCCCACTAAAGTCACCCCAAATGCCCCTAAAACCACCCCAAATGGCCCCTAAACCACCTAAATCCCACCTAATCCCCCTAAAACCACCCCAAATGCCCCCTGAAGTACCCAAATCCCACCTAATCCCCCCAAAACCACCCCAAATGCCCCCTAATTTCCCCTAAAACCACCCCAAATGCCCCTAAAACCACCCCAAATTCCCCCTGAACCACCCAAATCCCACCTAGTCCCCCTGAAACCACCCCAAATGCCCCCTGGAGCACCCAAATCCCAACTAATCGATGCTAAAACCACCCCAAATGCCCCTAAACCACCCCAAATGCTTCTAAAGCACCCAAATCCCACCTAATACCCCCTAAAACCACCCCAAATGCCCCCTGAAGTACCCAAATCCCACCTAATCCTCCCTAAATACCCCTAAAACCAACCCTAAATGCCCTCTAAGCCATCTAAATTCCACCTACTCCCCCCCTAAAACCAACCCAAATGCCCCTAAAACCACCCCAAATGGCCCCTAAACCACCCAAATCCCACCTAATTCCCCCTAAAACCACCCCAAATCCCTCCTGAACCACCCAAATGCCCCCTAAACCACCCAAATCCCAACTAATCCCCTCTAAAATCACCCCAAATGCCCCCTGAAGCACCCAAATCCCACCTAATTCCCCCTAAAACCATCCCAAATCAACCCTGAACCACCCAATTCCCACCTAATCCCCCCTAAATACCCCTAAACCCACCCAAATCCCACCTAACCCCCCTAAAACCACCCCAAATGCCCCTAAACCACCCCAAATGCCCCCTGCAGCACCCAAATCCCACCTAATATCCCCTGAAACCAGCCCAAATTCCCCCTGAACCACCCAAATCCCAACTAATCCTCACTAAAGTCACCCCAAATGCCCCTAAAACCACCCCAAATGCCCCCTAAACCACCCAAATCCCACCTAATAGTCCCTAAAACCACCCTAAATGCTCCCTAAACCACCCAAATGCCCCCTAAACCACCCAATCCCACCTAATCCCCCCTGAAACTACCCCAAATGCCCTAAAACCAGCCCAAATTCCCCCTAAATCACCCAAATCCCCCCTAAACCACCCAAATCCCACCTAATCCCCCCTAAAACCACTCCAAATCAACCCTGAACCACCCAAATCCCACCTAATCCTCCCTAAAACCACCCCAAATGCCCCCTGGAGCGCCCAAATCCCAACTAATTCCCACTAAAATCCCCCCTAAATGCCCCCTAAAACCACCCCAAATGCCCCCTGAACCACCTCAAATCCCCCCTAAACCACCCAAATCCCAACTAATCCACCCTAAAATCACCCCAAATGCCCCATGGAGTGCTGAAATCCCAACTAATTGCCACTAAAATCACCCCAAATGCCCCTAAAACCAGCCCAAATTCCCCCTGGAGCACCCAAATCCCAGCTAATCGACGCTAAAATCACCCCAAATGCCCCATGGAGCACCCAAATCCCAACTAATTCCCACTAAAATCACCCCAAATGCCCCCTAAACACCCCCAAATTGCCCCTAAACACCCCCAAATTGCCCCTAAACACCCCCAAATTGCCCCTAAACACCCCCAAATCCCCCCTAAACACCCCCAAATCTTCCTTAAACCCCCCCAAATCCTCCTTAAACCCCCCCAAATCCTCCTTAAACCCCCCCAAATCCCCCTAAACACCTCCAAATCCTGCCTAAGCACCCCCAAATCCCTCCTAAACACCCCCAAATCCCCCTTAAACACCCCCAAATCCTCCTTAAACCCCCCCAAATCCCCCTAAACACCTCCAAATCCTGCCTAAGCACCCCCAAATCCCTCCTAAACACCCCCAAATCCCCCCTAAACTCCCCCAACCCCCAAATCCCCACCGCGGGGGTGTCCCCGCACCGTTGGTGTCGCGGAACTCCTGGAGCAGCATCTGCGCTTCCTCCTGGATGCGGCTCTCGATGCTCCGCCGGCCCATCCCGAAATCCCGCAGCACCGTCAGCGAGAAGCGGCGCAGCTGCTTCCAGCGCTCCCCGTTCGAGAACACCACCCCTAAAATTTGGGGAGGGGTCAGAAATCCCCTCGGAGCCGCTCCCAGCGCTCCCCGTTCGAAAACACCACCCCTAAAATTTGGGGGGGGGGACATTTGGGGGGTCAGAAATCCCCTCCAATAAAGTGAAGACCACCCCTAAAATTTGCGGGGGGAGATTTGGGGGGTCAGAAATCCCTACCAATAAAGCAAAGACCACCCCTAAAATTTGGGGGGTCAGAAATCCCTCGGAGCCGCTCCCAGCGCTCCCCGTTCGAGAACATCACCCCTAAAATTTGGGGGGGGTATTTGGGGAGTCAGAAATCCCCTCCAATAAAGCGAACACCACCCCTAAAATTTGGGGGGGACATTTGGGGGGTCAAAAATCCCCTCGGAGCCACTCCCAGCGCTCCCCGTTCGAAAACACCACCCCTAAAATTTGGGGGACACATCTGGGGTCAGAAATCCCCACCAATGTGAAGACCACCCCTAAAATTTGGGGAGGGGGAGGGGACATTTTGGGGGGGGGTCAAAAATCCACTCGGAGCCGCTCCCAGCGCTCCCCGTTCGAAAACACCACCCCTAAAATTTGGGGGGGACATTTGGGGGGTCTGGGTGTGTCCCCCCTTTGAGGAGGGGTCGGGGGGGCTGTGGGTGTGTCCCCCCCTCACCGTGGCCGTGGAAGGTGCTCTCCACCGTGGGCATCCGCCCCCTCCCCGCGAAGGCGTCGGGGAGCCCCACGAGGGCCTCTCGGACCGCGGCGTGGCCGCGCAGAACCAGCACGGGCCGCGGGCCGAGCCACACCGTGAACACGGGGCCGTAGCGCTCGCTCAGCTGGGGAAGGGGTGGGGGGACACGGGGGGGGTCAGGGGAGACCACCCCGAACGGCCCTGAACTAGCAAACCCCACCCTAGTATAGCTGGCAGCCACCTAAACCCACCCAAACCCCACCAAACCCACTCAAACCCACCTGAATCCCACCCAAACCCACCTGAATCCCACCCAAATATACCCGGCACCCACCCAAACCCATCCAAATATACCCGGCACCCACCGAAACCGCCCCACCCAAACCGACTCAAACCCCACCCAAATATATCCGGCACCCACCTAAACCCACCTAAACCCTCCAAACCCCACCCGAATATACACGGCACCGACCCAAACCCCACCCAAACCCATCCAAATATATCCGGCACCCACTCTAAACCCAACCAAACCCACCCAAATCCCACCCAAAAATACAATACACCCAAACCCCCAAACCCGTCCAAATATACCTGGCACCCACCCAAACCCATCCAAACCCACCCAAACCCCACCCAAAAATACACCCCCAAACCCACTCAAACCCATCCAAATATATCCAACCACCTAAACCCATCCAAACCCACCCAAATCCCACCCAAACCCCACCCAAAAATACACAACCCCCAAACCCACCCAAACCCCACCCAAAAATACACAGAACGCCCCCAAAGTACCCCCCAAACCCACCTGAATCCCCCAACCCACCCCAACCCCCAAAGCCACCCGACCAACCCCGAACCACCCCTCAAACCACCCAAATCTCCCCTAACCCCACAAAGTCCCCTGCGAATTCCCCCAAACCACCCAAATCTCCCTAACCCCCAAAGCTGCCCTGAATTCCCCCAAACCACCCAAATCTCCCCCTAACCCCCAAAGCCGTCCCGAATTCCCCCAAAACCACCCAAATCTCCCCAAAGCCGCCCTGAATTCCCCCCAAACCACCCAAACCCACCCCAATCCTCCCCACCTGAATCCCCCCAAACCCCCGAATCCCACCAAATATACCCCTCCACAAACCCATCCAAATATACCGGCACCACAAGCCCGATCCCAAACCCACTCAAACCCCACCCAAATATACCCGGCACCCACCTAAACCCACCTAAACCCCCAAACCCCACCCGAATATGCGGCACCGATCCAAACCCCACCCAAACCCATCCAAATATATCCGGCACCCACCTAAACCCATCCAAACCCACCCAAATCCCACCCACAAAAATCCACAAACCCCCAAACCCGTCCAAATATACCTACCCACTAAACCCATCCAAACCCACCAAACCCCACCCAAGTCACCCCCAAACCCACCCAAACCCCACCCAAAAATACACAGAACGCCCCCAAGTACCCCCACCCCCAAAGCCCACCAAATCACAGACCCCCTAACCCCACCCAACCCACCCAAATGTGCCCAGCACCACCCGGCACCCACCAAACCCACCCAAAAATACACAGAACGCCCCTAAAGTACCCTCAAACCCACCTGAATCCCCCAGCCCACCCCAAGCCCCCAAAGCCGCTCAGACCCACCCCAAACCACCCCTCAAACCACCCAAATCTCCCTAACCCCAAAGCCACCCGAATTCCCCCAAACCACCCAAATCTCCCCAAAGCCACCCCGAATTCACCCCAAAACCGCCCAAACCCACCCCAATCCTCCCACCTGAATCCCCCAAACCACCCCAAGCCCCTCCCAAAGCCCCCAAAACCCACCTTGAGCAGGGACTGGAGGGTGGGTAGGGGTTCCCCATGTCGGGACCCACCCAAATCCCCACAAAACTCCCCAAATCCCCCAAAACTTCTCCAAATCCCCCAAACACCCCCAAATCCCCCAAATCCCACCCAAATCCCCCAAAACTCCTCCAAATCCCTCCAAACATCCCCAAATCCCCCAAATCCCACCCAAGCCCCCAAAACCTACCTGAGCAGGGACTGGAGGGTGGGAAGAGGTCCCCCATGTCGTTACCCCCAAAAGCCCCCAACCCCCAAAACCCACCTTGAGCAGCGACTGCAGGCTGCGAGGCGTCCCCCATATCAGGACCCCCAAAGCCCCCAAATCCCAACCAAAGCCCCCAAAGCCCCCAAAACCCCTAATCCCACCCAAGCCCCCAAAACCCACCTTGAGCAGGGACTGGAGGGTGGGTAGAAGGTCCCCCACGTCGGGACCCCTCCAAATCCCCCAAAACTCCCCAAATCCCTCCAAATCCCTCCAAAAGCCCCCAAGACCCCCAAGCCCACCTTGAGCAGCGACTGCAGGGTGCGAGAGGGTCCCCCATATCAGGCCCCCCAAAGCCACCCAAACCCCCAAAACCCACCCAAGACCCCCAAGCCCACCTTGAGCAGCGACTGCAGGGTGTGAGGGGGTCCCCCATGTCGCTACCCCACCCAAATCCCCTCAAACCCCCAAAAGTCCCCAGACCCCCCAAAGCCCACCTTGAGCAGCGACTGCAGGGTGCAGGGGTTCCCCCATGTCGGAACCCCCAAAACCCCCAAAACTCCTCCAAATCCACCAAATCCCACCCAAGCCCCCAAAACCCACCTTGAGCAGGGACTGGAGGGTGGGTAGCAGGTCCCCCACGTCAGGAGCCCTCCAAATCCCCCAAAACTCCCCCAAATCCCCCAAAGCCCCCCCAAACCCCCAAATCTCCCCCAAATCCCCCAAATCCCACCCAAGACCCCCAAAACCCACCTTGAACAGGGACTGGAGGGTGGGAAGAGGCTCCCCATGTCAGGACCCCCAAAAACTCCCCAAATCACCCCAAATCCCACCCAAAGCCGCCCAAACCCCACCTTGAGCAGGGACTAGAGGGTGGGTAGAGGTCCCCATATCAGGACCCCCCAAATCCCCAAAGCTCCCCCAAATCCCCCAAATCCCACCCAAAGCCCCCAAACCCCCAAATCCCCCAAAACCCCACCTTGAGCAGCGACTGCAGGGTGCGAGGGGTCCCCATGTCGGGACCCCCAAAACTCCTCCAAATGCCCCCAAATCCCACCCAAGCCCCCAAGCCCACCTTGAGCAGCGACTGCAGGGTGCGAGGGGATCCCCCATATCGCTACCCCCAAGGCCCCCAAAGCCCCCAAACCCCCCAAAGCCCCCAGATCCCCCAAGCCCACCTTGAGCAGCGACTGCAGGGTGCGAGGGGGGTCTCCCCATATCGGGACCCCCCCAAAGCCCACCTTGAGCAGCGACTGCAGGGTGCGGCTCGGGGACAGCTGCAGGAGGTTGCCGAGCAGGGGCAGGGGGCGCGGCCCGGGGGGCAGCCGGGAGGGGGTCGCGGAGCCCCCCGAGCGCCGCAGCAGCAGCAGCAGCAGCAGCAGCAGCGCCGACAGCAGCAGGATCGGGCCCATGGCGGTGACACCGCGGCGACAGCGGCGACAGGGGGGAGGGGGCGGCCACCTCCATTTAAGGGAGGGGCGGAGGTCGTTGCACAACGAGGGAGGTTGCGCAAGAGGGACCTTGCCCTGAAGGGACAGGGAGGGGACAGCGGGGACAACGTGAGGGTAGGGAGGGGACAACCTGGGGATAGGGAGGGGACAACGGGGACAACCTGGGGACAACCTGGGGACAACCTGGGGATAGGGAGGGGACAACCTGGGGACAGGGAGGGGACAGCGGGGACAACCTGGGGATAGGGAGGGGACAACCTGGGAACAACCTGGGGATAGGGAGGGGACAACCTGGGGATAGGGAGGGGACAGTGTAAACAACCTGGGGACAGCGAGGGGACAGTGGAAACAACCTGGGGATAGGGAGGGGACAACCTGGGGACAACCTGGGGACAGGGAGGGGACAGCGGGGACGGGGATTGGGGGGGGAGGGGCGGAAAGACACACAGAGGGGACAGCGGGGACAACCTGGGGACAGTGAGGGGACGGGGACATGACGGGGACAGCGGGGACACCATGGGGACAGAGGGAACACCCTGGGGACAGAGGGGACACCCTGGGGACAGTGAGGGGACGGGGAACCCACGGGGACAGCGGGGAGAACTTGGGGACAGCGGCTGCGGGACAAGGAGGGGACAGGGGACACCGTGGGGATGCCCGAGGACAGTGGGACAGGGTGGCTGGTGCCGAGGGTGGCAGGGTGACAATGCCGAGGGTGACAGGGTGACAGTGCCGAGGGTGACAGGGTGACAATGTGGCAGTACCGAGGGTCACAGTGGTGGCCGTGCCCCGCGGGGGGGAGGGGCCCACAGGTGACACGCGCGTGTCCCGTTGCACAACGCCCCGCACGGGGCCCCGAGGGGGGGTGACAGGGCGGTGACAACGCGGTGACAAAGCAGGGGCAGCTCCCGCGGGCACCACGCGGGCTGTCCTGGCACAGGGACACCCACGTGTCCCCAGCCCGATGTCCCCAAGGCCTGGGGGGTGTCCCCATCACCCCAAGTGTCCCTCAGGGGGTGTCCCCAAGCCCTGGGGGGTGTCCCCCTGACCCCAAGTGTCCCCTGGGGGTGTCCCCAAGCTCTGGGGGGTGTCCCCATCACCCCAAGTGTCCCTCAGGGGGTGTCCCCAAGCTCTGGGGGGTGTCCCCATGACCCAGAGTGTCCCCTGGGGGGTGTCCCCAAGCTCTGGGGGTGTCCCCATCACCCTGAGTGTCCCCTCAGGCGGTAACCCCAAGCCCTGGGGGTGTCCCCATGACCCAGAGTGTCCCCTGGGAGTGTCCCAAGCTCTGGGGTGTCCCCATCACCCTGAGGTCCCTCAGGGTCCCCAAGCCCTGGGGGTGTCCCCAAGCCCTGGGGGTGTCCCCCTGACCCCAAGTGTCCCTCAGGGGGGTGTCCCCAAGCCCTGGGGGGTGTCCCCCTGACCCCAAGTGTCCCCTCAGGGGGTGTCCCCAAGCCCTGGGGGGTGTCCCCCTGACCCCAAGTGTCCTTTTGGGGGTGTCCCCATGAGCTCTGGGGTGTCCCCAAGCCCTGGAGGTGTCCCCATCACCCAGAGTGTCCCCTCAGGGGGTGTCCCCAAGCCCTGGGGGTGTCCCCCTGACCCTAAGTGTCCCCAGGGGGGTGTCCCCAAGCCCTGGGGGGTGTCCCCATGACCCAGAGTGTCCCCTGGGGGGTGTCCCCAAGCTCTGGGGGTGTCCCCATCACCCTGAGTGTCCCCTCAGGGGTGTCCCCAAGCCCTGGGGGGTGTCCCCATGACCCAGAGTGTCCCCTCAGGGGGTGTCCCCATGACATCTGGGGGTGTCCCCAAGCCCTGGAGGTGTCCCCATCACCCAGAGTGTCCCCTCAGGGGTGTCCCCAAGCCCTGGTGGGTGTCCCCCTGACCCCAAGTGTCCCCCCAGGGGGTGTCCCCAAGCCCTGGTGTAATAGAAGGTTTAACTTTGTTCATAAAATCTTATGTGTATGAGGGAGTCAGAAACTTTTTGTTGTAATTAAACAAGAGGAGTTTCACAGACAGCTTGCTAATCAAGAGAGTGTCAATAAACAACTGATAAGAACTGCACCTTTCATCTCTAACAAGTACCAGATGACCACTTAACAGCCAGGAACTCAAGCCACAAGCAGATTTACATCTGAAAAGTCGGTGCCAGACGCCACGAACTCAAGCCACAAACAACTTTACATCCAAAAACCCGAGACTTGAGAATATATAAAAGGAGCCTTTACTACATTTGAGGGTGTGCCTCGGCAGGGCGCTTGCCCTCCAGGCCACCCAGCGCTGTTTTGCTCTATTATCGCTTGCTTGATAAATTTATCAATGTTTAATCGGAATTGAGTTGTCTAAATTCTTATAGTAACTTAGAACCCCCACACCAGAGCAGGGGGTGCCTGAGGGAGGAGGAGACCCCCCCCCCGAGAAGCCCGTGGTGGAGAGGGTTTGCTGGCAGGACCTGTGACCTCACGGCAGGGGGGGGGACCCCAACTGGAGCAGGTCCTGCAGGACTGGGGAGGAGCCACGTTGGGTGTAATAGAAGGGTTAACTTTGTTCATAAAATCTTATGTGTATGAAGGAATAAGGAACTTTTGTTATAATTCAACAAGATAAGTTTCATGGACATCCTGTTAATCAAGCAAGTGTCAGTAAAAATAATTGCAGACATCTTGCCAAACAAACAAGTATCAGTATCAGTAAAATTTACAACTGATAAGAACTGCAGCTTTCATCTCTGACAAATCACAGATGACCACTTAACAACGAGCCACGAACTCAAGCCTCAAAGCAATTGCATTCAAAACCCGGGACTTGAAAATGTATAGAAAGGGGACATTTACTACATGGTGGTGTGCCTCGGCAGGGCACTTGCCTTCCAGGCCACCCAGCGCTGTTTTGCTTTATTATCGCTTGCTTAATAAATTTATCAATGTTTAATTGGAATTGAGTTGTCTAAATTCTTATACTAACATATAACACTCTGAGGGTTGTCACTGTCTGGGGCTCTCAAGGGACTCGTTACAGCAGATAATTGGAGGCCAGGGTTGCACAAACCTCCCAGAGGTGCAAAACCAAAAGCAAACTCCAAATTGCTCTGAAAATCCTGCAGGCCCTTGAAGCCTTAAGGAGCCTCCAGAGGGCCCCTCCTGACAAAGCCTCCCCAGGGACTCTGCAGCAGCTCCTTGGAGGCCCTGAGTGCAGGGAGGCAAAGGCTCTGGGCAGCAGCTCAGCTGCTGAGAAAAGCCTGGCTGGGTTTGGGGAAGTTTCCTTCCTTTTCAGGCTTCCTCCAGCTTTGGGAAATGCTGCCTGGCAGATTGGCACCACCTAAGAAGGGCTCTGGCAGGTTCCTGGCAGCAAAGCCAGCGTGCCCTGGGCTCCAGCCCCGATCTTTGGAGCAAGGAGACACCTGAGAGTTCAAAAGAGGAGGCTGCATCTTTGACAACATTTGGGGACAAGCAGGCATTGCTGCTATGTGGATAATCTGCATGTGAATGGTTGCTTTGAGTTAAAGCATTCAATTAAAAAAATGTGTGTATCTCAGTGACTTGTTTTGGTTTAAAAAAAAGAATATTTACTTTTTCTGTGTAATTATATTATGAAGTTGGTAGATTAGAAAACAATCATGGTGACTTTTCTCTCATGCAAACTTTAATTTTATCTTGAAAATTTTGAATGGTACCTCTTTGAGACATGTAAAACTCACAGGAAAATGGCACAAACACTGTGGGAAAACATGAAAAATATTAGGATGACATGTTTGTGTGAATTGAAAAAATTCCCTGTGCTTGTCCCTTGGCTAATTTGATATTGATGTTGTCTGACCTGCTGTTCTCCTCAGTAACAACTCAGAGTTTACGAAGACTTCTCAGTGGGTGTAAGTGCTGGCTGAGAGCCACAGCAGCATCCTCAGTCCTGGCTGGGACAGGATATTCCCTCCCCAGGCCAAGCTGAGTTTCTGAAACCCCTTTCCAGCTGAGTTGTCTCTTCACTGGAAGGACCCTGCGATGGAGGAGCTGCTGCCTTGTAGCTCCCAGCCTGCCAGAGTGCCCTGCAGGAGTGTCTGTGCCCTGGAGGGTGGGCAATGCCCAGGGAGGGCTCAGCTCCCCAGGCAGCAGGAGCATTGCTGGGCCTCTGCCAGGGCTTGCAGGCACTGGGGAGTGTTGCAGGGCTGGACTGGGAGCGAAGGGGCCCTGGGCTGGATTTGTGAGGGCTCAGGAATTCAAGGGACAGAGCAGCAAGGGAGGGAATGTTTAATTATCCATGACTCTTTCCCAAGTTATAAAAGCCTGACCAGTTCAGGAAAATCAGGTGTCGTGGGGAGATCACCCTCTTTGAACCACTTTCTTCCCTGGGTGACTGAAAACTGCAGGAAACACTGGCACTGCTCGCACTAAACTGTCTTTTGGTACAGTTGGGAACCCTGGTTAGTTTTGCACAAACCATTGCTTACCTGTCCTGCTAAAATGCCCCACGGATGCATCAGAGCCACTGGATTCACTGGGAGAGAGAAGCCTGGTTTACTTCCAGTGGGATTCACCCCTCACCATGTAGAGGTGAATGATTCAGACCTTGGACAGTCTCCCAGATCTTTGTGTGCCAACAGAGCAACAGGGGATGAGCTCCCACATATAAGGAGAGACTGGGATTAATCTCTCTCATTAAGGTCTAAGAACTGAGCCATGTCTTGCCTTGCTTTGTTTGGATTGCCTTGCCTTGCCTTGCCTTGCCTTGCCTTGCCTTGCTTCCCCGTTTTCATCCCTTTCCTCCTTTTTCACCCTGTTTCTTCTCAATGTTCTTACATGAAATGCATCTCTTCACGATCTGGACAAGGAATGTAAGCCAGACTGTTCTACAAGGGGTTAGTATTTATCCATTTCTTTCCTTTTTTTCTCCTCTACCCCCAGGCATTCTATTTAATAAAACCCCTCTGGCCCAGCAGGTCAAGATTCCCTTCTCTCTGTGGCAAGGCCGGATCATGCAGGCTCCCGGAGTCTGTTCTGCCCTCCCTTTG